GGTCTGACGGCCGAAGCGGGGCTCTCCCTTGCAACCGAGGCAGCCTCTTCCACCCTCCCATGTTGAACTGCATGCTCTCAGTTTCCACCAAAACTTAGGGGTTCCTTCTTTGCCTACCCCAGAGGCAATCTGTAGTTAATCAATCTACAATATCAGATACAAATCAATCTACAACAAACCTGACCTTCCTGTCCTCGGGGAATGTATTGTGAAATACTTGTGTTTCCTGCTCTGTTCTTGATCTGACAGAAAGTAAAAGGCGCCGAGAAGTGACATCTCCAGAATTTGGAGAAGAATTTAACGCTGCTTTCCCAAAACACAGCAGCAGAATGAGGGGCAGAACCCAGATCAAAAAGGCTACAGCTACCAGAGGGAAACTTACAGCGCTGTATCTCTTTCTAGATTTAATTCTCATACAGCTAGCTCTGGTGTGCTGACTGACAGAAACTAGGAAATCAGCAAACCTTAGATTCACGTCTGTAATTTCTTGTAACATCTCAATTCAGCATCTTAAACAAGAGCCACAAAACTGATTAAACTTTGGGATTGATATAAGAATGTATCTTTATTGTAAACTTAGTTATCATTGTATGTTTCCATATAGGCAGGGGTGGCTGCCCCCGTCACCTCTTAAAATAACTGCCACTGTCACCTGTAAAGTCACTTTCAGATCCATTTTACGGATATTTAGAGATGACCAGTATTTTGCAGGTTCAGGCTAAATATTAGAGTTACATTACTTGACATCTTTCTGAATGTTACACCTGGTCTTTATGGCATCCTGGGAGAGTGGGAGTTGTCATAACCTATGAAAAGACTGATGTTATTGTGCAATACCTTAGTAGTGGAGTGCAGGGGGTTTCAGCCATTACCTCCGCCTGCTTGGCAGTTGCTGGTCTGAGCCCTGTCCCTCTGGTCATGTCTTCCCACTGCCCTGGCTTGATCCTGCATTTCTGGGCTGTGTTCTAACACGTCCAGCCCTGGAAACAAATATCAAAATGTGGCCATGTCACAATCCACTCGCTACAGCTGACAGTTCGGGGGGATTCTAGCACTGCTAGGAGCTTCACATCCTGCATTTCCATACATAAATGTTTCAAAACCATGCAACTTGTCACATGAGCAAAACAGAAGCACCGGTTTCTTTCTGGCCAACGCTGAGAAAAAAAACCTGTAAAAGCTTTATCTAAACCAAAACATCTGATTTTCATTGGCAAGACTGGTTGCTCATACTTCCCTCTACGGTTTCTGAGCAGAGCTGGATAAAGGGTAGTCTTGAGCTGAATGCAGTGGATGATTCTTATCTCGCACATACAGCTCACGGTACAGCTTCCAGAAACTGTAAATCCCAGTATGCAAAACCACTTGGTTTGAATGGAAGGCACTAGGCAGGCTGCATATCTGGGTTGCAAATGAAGGTGGCTACGCTTCTTTCCACTTTTTAAGATTCCTGTGTGCCCACTAGCAAAAGAGCGGTGTCCCTGTTTTAATGGAGATTTGTTTTCCTTTGCCAAAGGTTGGATGGTACAATGCTGTTCTCCAGCCAGCCTTTCATCTCCCCTACCCAGATGACACGCTGGCCTTCGTGGTCCTCAGCACACCTTCTATGTTTGACAAAGCCCTTAAACCTTTTGTGAAAAAAGAATGGTTAAAAATAATCAGGGATCCTGTGGATCAGTGTGTTTCTCATCATTTATCCCGTGTGAAGGAGGTAAGAACCTGAAATACCAATTCCTTTTACTATTGTGGTGTATAACCAGACGGGTTGAGTGGTAGACACAGCCTTCCAGGTTCCTGCCCCTGCTCTTTAGAAGGGTAAAGCATCGTTCATGATGGTAATTCTTACTAAGAGCATCAACAGGCTGTTGACCTGCTTTACTTGCATATTCTGTCTCTGCTATTACAACCTGTAGCTGAGTAGAGCACTTTACAGCCATTGTTTGAAAACCCAAGGCCACAAGCGCACTGATGGATTTCAGTAGCGGGATGTGGAAATCTGCAGGCTTCTCACATGCCTGATTTGCTAGCATCCAGCACCTCTGTAGTGGCAAGTCTTTTTCCATGAGCCTGGGCTGATGTTTTTTAATTTTCCCAGAAATTCCCTGACCAGAAGGTGGATGTCATCTTTGATTACGAGATCCTGCCAAGCCGAAAACCCAAGTTCTTGGCGCAGACAGCTGCCCACGTTGCTGGAGCTGCATATTATTACCAAAGGAAGGATGTGAAGCTTGATCCTTGGGGTAAAAAGGTGAGGCAAAAACACAGTCTGGGAAGAACCACCGAACTGCAATCACTGAATTGTACAACGATTGTTTACTCACTAGTTCTTCCTGCAGGAAAATAGAAAGTCCAGATCACATATAGATGCATAAAGTGTTTCAGACAGGAATTGGAAGCTTCCAGGATTCTTTGGGGTGGTAGGGAGATGCATACATGGAGAAGACTATCTCGATCTATTAAATCTACATTTAGGAGAATAAATCTCAGTGTAAAAGGAGACCTGTTGCTTGGAGCATTATAAATAGAAAAAAAAAATTGCACTGTGGTTAATTTCTGTGTTAGATTTTCAAAAAGGGACCTCTCCCCACATTACAGGGTGGTGTGTATGTGGGCACAGGAAAATGGGAATGAAATGCAATGCTTTGAGCCACATGTTCAGGAAAGAGCTTTCCTTTCTTCTCTGTATAGCACTCCAACAGAGGGCTAGGAGCGTGAGAAGTTGCATCAAAGCTTGATGCTTTGAACTCTAACCATTACTAGAGACAAAATGAGACATCCTAGATCCTTCTTTTTTTCCTTCCAGAAGATCTACGGCGTATGTATTCATCCCAAGTACGGCGGTTGGTTTGCTATCAGGGGTGTCCTCCTGTTCCCAGATATTCAGGTACCATTCCTGAAACAGTCTGACCCTGTTGACTGTGTGAGCACAGAGGAAAAACGAATTGAGTTGCTGGAGCAATTCAATTTCCACTGGCGGGATGGCCGCTACAGGGACATAATTGAAGTGAAGGAAAGGTACTCGGAGGAGCAAAAAGCCTACTTTGCCACTCCTCCCGCAGGGAGATTCGGACTGCTAGGGCTGAAGCAGCCCAGAGAAGCACATTTCACTGAGTAATGTGGCTCCGTGGAGGGGCAGAGGGCAAGCGAAGTGTAACTCATCAGCACCTTCTTTTCCATGGTGCTGAGCAGGACGGCGTGCTGATACAGAGATGGCAAATGCAAGCAGCGCGTGCAGCGTCTCAATCCAAACATCAGCTTCTCAGAGTAAGAGGAAGCACTGCATCATAGCACTGGTGGTCTGGAGGAAGGGGGGAGCAGTCCATGCTGTGCGGTTGCTGATTTGACATGTCTTCTTGGGATTCTGGTGAGATGCCAGTTAGCCTTTGGTTAGGAAAGTTCAGGCACCCAGGCAACTGGAAAACCCATGCTGCTCATTAGACAAGTAATTTTTGTTCTCAAGAATTTTCTTTCCAAATGTTTTGGTTTTATTCTGCGTAAGAGTAAAAAAGTTAGTTTTCAGTCATTGTATGCTGACCTTTTTTTTTCATCTGAACTCAGAGCAGAAACTTTTTTAGATGTATCCAGCATTTTATTAGCCTGTGTCGTAATTCTCTCTAGGGAATAAATGTTCAGTCTTTTCAGTCTTGCCTTCCTCAGAAAGAAAATTTGTCCTGTATTCCTTCACTTGCGGTGAAGCTGGCTTAATTTAATTTAAAAAATCTTTTAATGTTTCCTTAACCTCCAAAAGACAAATCTCCAGAGATTGTTTCATTGAGTAGCGTGGTCCTGCATATGGAGCAGGAGTGTGGAAAACACAGCCAACAGCAGCTGCCTCCTTCAGGGTAGTTAGGAAAGGGAAAGGGACGGTACAAAGTCACAGCCCGAGCGATAACGTTTCCTCCTCACCCAGGGTCAGCTTCTCAGAACAAGGTGATGTCTTTAGGTCAGTTTTAAGCACTTATCCACTGCATAGAGCAGCCAACTAAAATCTTTGGAGAGGTGCTGAATAATGCCTATGTGAGTGGAGTTTTTACTCATATTAAGATAACTGACCAAAAAAGTCAATTCCCATGACCTTTTTCTAAGGTAGATGAGGTCTGAATTTAAAATACTTTTCAGTGCCATGTCAGCACACACCGCAGTTTTACTACCATAGTTTCCTGTTGTACTTCCCATATGGGGGAGATCGTAAACCTGCACGCACGTAAAAAACATTGCGCAAAGCATTGTCACACGCACAGGCAACCAAGCAGAGAAAAAAAGAGAAAAAATATTCAATGACGTTCATGTTACTTATATTGCTGGATAAAACATCTTCAGACAGAAGCAGTTTTTTTACATTACTTGTCCTGTTGGATTTGTCAGAGGTTACAATGGCACCAGGAATTGATTTATCTGAGAACACTTCAAGGCTCAGGCCTCATTAAAATAATATAAGAAGTTAAAATAATATTTTGTGGGAGTTTTCTTACTTGACTGCAGTGCAGTGCTGCAAGTCACTAAGCACTTTTTCCCTTTCCTTGATAACAACACGATGATGTAAAAATACTCACTTTGCAGAACCAAGCCCTTTTTCTTTTTATTTTATGCTGTGATTCCTCATACCTTTTGGAGACCCAAACACTAAGGCTGCCCTCACAATAAGTCACTGCTTGATACAATTTTTCATAGGCTACATACTAACTAAGCATGATCAAAATTCAGCATAACAAGTTCTTTTTCCTGCGAACAGAGCAGCAAGGGTGTGATTGCTGGATTTGTTCAGTGTATTTGCTGTTACAATACAGTCTTTGTTGCTTTCCAGGCCTTGTTCACCACATGTGACCAAGGCAGGCACCTGACTTACTGTGTGATAGCGGTACTGTGATTTTTAATTTAAGCAAAATAATGAAATGTGTTTAAATTCTGTTCTTTTGTTATAGAATTACTGCTGGTTGAAATGTTGGTTGACCTTCCAGAACTTTCCAACTGAACTGTAATTTAACAGGGACTTGAGTTAATGGTTCATGTTAGTAACATACACAAAACACTGATTCTCTTAGAAGGATAAGTGCAGAATGGAATCTGATTTATCTTTTTGAGTTACAATTTAAAGTAAAATATTTTTCTATTTTGGGGTTGATTTCTTACAAATATTTAGTATTTTGTCTTACTTCATTTATTAAATGGATTACCATAGCCATTTCATTTAAATTTTTGTAATTTATTTCTCTTCACATGGTATTTTGGTTAATAAAATACATGAAATTGTAAGTAACCCTCACTACTGAGTATTTTTATTTAAGCAGTGCAATGATTAACTTGTGGAGAGCTAAAGATGTTAAAGTGAGAATTGATCACCGTTTTTAACATACTGAAAATAGCGAGCTACCTGGCACACAAAATCCAGTAACTTAAAAGTAATACCCGTAAGGACTGGAATTCTTATTTGTTAAAACATATTAGTGAATACCGAGTCACAGTAAGGGCAAGCCTGTGTTCTTTGTGCTTCTGGCAATACAGTTATGTCAGGCGGAACAGAGTACAAATTTTTAATAACATATCCATTCCTACTACAGTAATTTTGGAGTGAATTGGACTGGTTCTTACTGGCTTTCCCTTAGCCAGGTCACAGAGATCCACAGCTGCAGCTAGTAATTTTCTTTCCTTGCTGGCTGGAGTATAATGGTCTTTGTCTTACAAAATTGAAGTTTGAGAACCTGTTTGACTTATCTATTGGGACAAGACTAGACATGGTGAGGAACGGATCATTCTGGCATCCTGAGGCGTTGTGAAGACATTCTTATTTTTGGCATTTGCAGATGTCAAACAAGTAATTGCAAATACTTGGATAGATTTACTAGTTCAAGTATCACATTTTACATTTTTAGACAAGTAAGTTTTTCACTAAATCCTAATTTTTAAACATTTATTAAAGTATCTTTTTTCCTCACTGTAACCAGTAGGGTGAATTCAAGAGCTGAACAGTAAAAAAAAAAAAAAAATTAAAAACTACTTGAATTTGAATTCTGTTTTAGCAACAAGCTAATAAAATATTCTATGGAGAATTAACAAATTTGTAAGTTTTAATGCATATAACATTTATCATTCGTCTTCTCCTTCCATTCAAATTTCCTTTTTTTCACTTCATGAACCTTAAAATAACTGAGATTTTTACTACGATTAAAGATGTGACAGAAAATACTGATTAAATGCAAAGCACAATCTAATCTGGTGACAAGCAGCCATCAGGATTATTGCTCAGAAAGGGAAAAACACTTCCCCCCCCCCACCA